ACAAGTGCCTTACTAGTAGTAACAAGTGCCTTATTAGTAGTAACAAGGACGCCCCCATCTTTTCCGGAGGAACGGTCCAACCCGTTTCTCACACCCTCAACACGATCGTCGTTGCAAGGCACAGGATTGCACCAGCTGTGGGGCGCTTGGCCGGGACTTTGCTCAGCATCTCGCTGCCTGCGAGTGCCCGAAATCCCGAATCGGCATCCATGAAAACCATTCCGAACGAGAGAAGCTACACACTGCACACAACCAAAAGACAAACCTTGCTGTCGGAGCTATCTGAAAACTCGAAAGAAAGGACTCTTTGGCTGTTTTGCACACATTGGGATCTGCATGAGGGAAATGACATCATACGGTGAAATGCATCGTTTGGGGAACGTGCACAAGCAGCTCACGAATCGGTGTTCGAAAGATCGGAAGAGTCAGGACAAGGTACAAAGCGAGCGCACAAATGGAGAATATTCCTGGCAAGTGCTACACACTGACAATCTCTCTGAATGTCTAAATCACATTGCATGGATCTTGGGATGATGCCTTTCTGCTACACACGTTCCTAATGTAATTCAAGTAATTCAAGCAATCCACCTTGTCATAGCAGCTTGATATGTCTGGTAACTATTTATTTTCACACTATTTGTCTATCGCTCCGATTGAAATCAGTGACGTTGATCGCTCCGGCACTGTGGGCCAAACTGCGACCCGCAACATCCGTGTCCTCAGGAAGTGGCGGAGCTGTACCCCGAATGATGCTCTGCACGAGAATCACCATATTGGATCCTGACAAGAACGTGCAAAGAACGGAAGCTACTAGTGTAACAAGGACGCTACTAGGGGCTCCTGGCATCGCTACTAGGAGCGAGGACGCTACTAGAGGCTCCTGGCCATACTACTAGTAACAAGAAGCTACTAGGGGCTCCTCACAAGAACGTGCAGAGAACGGATAGGAGAGGCAATCTGTTTGCATCTGTTAGCCCTCCTCCGTCGAAGGGCAGCTTCAACGCCAAGAGTTCGTAAAGGATTACACCCATCGCCCAAATGTCAGCCGGCCACGCGTACCTCAAAGGAGGGCAGGGTCACAGCAGTCACAAAGTCGCAATGGCCTCCAACCTAATAGCAATGGCCTCCACCTTAGCAGCCAAACCTTGAACATACTGGTGTTGATGGATATAGGACCTGGGAGGGTGCTTCTATCCCGTTTTGAGAAGCTTTATCCCCAGTCTTGAGGACTGTCCACATTTCTTCATCCAGGTCACGGCTTCTCTTGGCAAACTTCAGGGCTCAGGTAGTATGGAGTGCCGATCGTCGTCCGTGCGATGGCCTGTGCATGCAATTGCACAGTGTGAAGGGCAGTGACACCTGGTTATAACCGGTAAGGACGCTACTAGGAGCAAAGGGCATCGCTACTAGGAACAAGGACGCTACTAGTAGATCATGATTAGATCACAGATGCCCACCGGGTGCCTGAGGGGCGCCTTGCTTTGAGGGCAGTGGTATCCAATAGAAAAAACAACACGCCCCTGCAAGCAAAGGCCTGCAGAATGCCGGACCTTCTAGGAACTTACACCACTGGGGTCTAGACCGTGCTATCAAATTGATCGTTATCTACGAGAAACAACAGTAACTACAACAAAGCTTCGAACGGCCTGAGTGCTGTTGAGAACTTTTGCAATGCCAAAGTCCCCCATTTTCAGATTGCCTTAGTCCATCAAGTGATGCCTTGCTGACCGCAGCAACATTCAACATGTCTTGCCAAAGGGCCAGCTTTGGACAAGAAGAAATTCCCTGATTTCAGGTCCTTGGTGCGAGATTGCTCGAACGGACACCATGCACACTGTGCACAAACCGTCACATCAGTGCCATCATTATGTCTCAAAACTGTTCAAAACCCAAAATGTCAATCCCTTGTTGGCTATAGTATGAAATACACATAATTAGAACGAATAGACTTTTACTCATGTTCCTCCAAGATTTCTTTTTATAGAGGTCTTTGCAAAGAGCGCCAAGATCTTCAAATCCCTGGTAACCCTTGATCGAATCAGCGACGCCAAAGCGACGCCAAAGCGAGGCCGACGGGTGCCGAGGCCGGTTTCGATTCGCCCAGTTGCTCGATGCAGCACGTGCTTATCGTGGATGTATTTCAAGGCGAGCAAAGCCTAACGGGACTTGGCAAATACATGGCAAATTGGGGTAAGTCACGGTAAGTAGGAGAATTGTTTTACTATTTGTTTTCACAAACGGGACTCATTGGAGTCATCACAGTGGTCTGAAGTCTGTCCACCTGCGTCATCCATCGCAACACCTGCGGCTCTGCTATTCGCCGTTGAGCATCTCTTGCGGAGCTGATCTGGCGAATGCTGAGAGGTTGCAACCGCTTCTGACATGCAAGCAAAGCAACTACAGAGTTGGCTTCCAGCCAATTCAAGGCTTGCAAAGTGCAAAGCCGAAATCCAGAAATTGGAGAAGCACTGCGGTGTTTTGGCAGGACCAAATTAAAGAGGTGGTAGAGGTGGTCGCCAGGGTGACAATGGTCTCTTTCTGGAATCCACCAGTCCGCCTGTGTGGCAAGGTCGCCACCTTCACAGAAGGCCATGAAAATACACAGGTAGCCTCAGCTGCTACAGCCTGGCCTTTCAACACAAATTTTGGGAATGACATGTCTCTACAAGAGCTCAGCATGTAATTGGATATGTTCTTCTTGAGTCAGCTGCCACCGTCTAAGAAGTTGCTGCGGTAGTCAACGATGAAAGGATGCCTCAGGAATCATTGATCGACTTCTTGACGACATGGATGTAGGTCTTGTAGGTCTTGTGGGTCTTTGAAGCAACACCCAGAAGGCCAAAATCTACCGTTTCACCGTTTCACCGATGTTCAACTCTCCGAATGGGTGACCAGCCTGGAACCAAAGAACCCCCCCAAGTAGAAGGGCCGTTCGTTTCTGATCATCCCTTCGATTGCTCCTCTGCAGAGGACCACATGGAACCCCAAAACCACTGGGCAAGTTAGTTTGCAGGAGAGAAACTTTTGGTTGACACATGTGGTGACGTTGGCTTCCTTAAGCTTCCGGATGCGGCATCCAAGCCGCTTGAAGGATGCCAGGAGCTGAGCTTCCTTCCGGGTATCTTGCACCTCCTTAGGAGAGGCCTGGTCACAAAATGTCACCGGAGGCCACGGACTGCGTTTGGAAAAAATACCGATTTCGTCATCCGCACAATCTGCACCTCTCGGACATCCACCATCTTACCTCAAATGTTCAACACGTGATGCAATAAGTGAGAATACGTCCACAAGTGCGGAAACGCTCCAATCATGCGGAACGACTTATTATCAGGGATATGCTTGGCACTGGCCCATGGCACTGACCTCTAAAATAAGAGCTACTAGTAGCGTCCTTGCTCCTAGTAGCGATGCCCGGGTTCCTAGTAGCAATGCCAGGAGCTACTAGTAGCTTCTCGTTCCTGCATCTTTCAGCAAGGCACACACCAACTTCGAGCCCTGTTCATCCTCCACCAAAACAGCTTGTCCAAAGGCACCTGCGAAGCATCACATGTCGACTTCTTTGCAGCTGAGCGCACTTCCACAGCTGTCAAAGGGCGCAAGAAAAAACATATTCAGTATACAGTATTGTACAGGATACATCATGAATCATGATACATCATGTACGTGCTTCATGATTGCGTTACATAAGGTATCAAGCACATGCATGCTTGTCCACTCTTCTTCACGCCTTCGCCGATCCGTCGGACCTCTCTAAAGCCATTCCTCGGCGGGATCGATCGGTCAAGACGGGAAGCGTTGACCTACTCCCTTTTAATTTGTTTCCAATAGCTTTTTGTTACTACTAGTAAGGCACCTGTTACACCGGCCCGCAGAAGTCAAAGCAATTTCAAAAACCACGCCAGTTCCACATGAGACGCCGCGCATTCAGGAAGTCAAACAAGTCAATGCAAAAACATGTAGATCACCATCAGGACGCAGCGATAAAACTATGTTTGTTTCTATCGTTTAATCTTACTTGAACGCCTCAGAAAACTGTATTCCAGCATGTGGACGCACATCCAACAATGACCAGGAAACGAAGGAATTGGTATGTTTCTTGACTGAGTTCACCATGGGACGCCGTATGATCCACTCCACCAAGTGACGGTTCCCCAAAGCACTGATACTAATCCATGTGCATGCTCCAGTGTGGCTTCGTGATGGTTGTGGTTTGATCATTGGCTGACTTGAGCATGTGTCTTGAATCCCTACACAACCACAGCAACCGACTCTGTCGAGGATTTGTGGCAGCAGCCTGATTCAGGATTCCTTGCCGCGGCCTGAAAGATCTAAATCAGGCTGCGGCAAGGAATCCTGAATCTGCTGCTGCTGCTGCTGTGGTAAAAATAGGGTTCAAGACACATGCTCAAGTAAGCAAATGGTCAAGCCACGACCATCAAATGGATTTTGCAATATTCCCTTTCCTATGCAGCTGCCTTCGATGGCTGAGCCATGTACTGCAAAGACCTGTGCTTGCCATATATATATAGGTCTGCAGCCATTGGAGAGCAGGAAACGAAGGGGTGGCTTGGACGAGGTACCGGACGAGGTGGCGGACGAGGTACCAAAGTACATCCGCCACAGCTCCGCCATGACATGTCTCCACTCTTTTGATGCAGCCAAGCAGCAGCCAAAGACAAGCAGCAGCAGCCAAGCAGCCAAGCAGCAGCCAAGCAGCAGCCAAGCAGCAGCCAAGCAGCCAAGCAGCAGCAGCAGCAGCAGACAAGAAGCAGCAGACAAGAAGCAGCAGAGAAGCAGCAGCAGACAAGCAGCAGCTGCAGCAGACAAGCAGCAGCAGCAGACAAGCAGCAGTAAGGCAACAGACAAGCAGCAGCAGCAACAAACAAGCAGCAGCAGCAACAGACAAGCAGCAGCAGCAACAGACAAGCAGCAGCAGCAGCAGCAGCCGCAGCGGACAAGCAGCAAACAAGCAGCAGCCAGGCAGCAGCAGCCAGGCAGCAGCAGCAGCAGACAAGAAGCAGCAGACAAGCAGCAGCAGACAAGCAGCAGCTGCAGCAGACAAGCAGCAGACAAGCAGCAGCAGACAAGCAGCAGCAGCAGCAGACAAGCAGCAGCAGCAGCAGACAAGCAGCAGCCAAGCAGCCAAGCAGCAGCAGCAGCAAAGCAGCAGCAAAGCAGCAGCAAAGCAGCAGCAGCAGCAAAGCAGCAGCAGCAGCA